TACAATAAAAAAAATAAAAAAAAGCAAGCAAATCCATAAATCCCTACAAGAAAAAGAAAAGCAAGGAGAGAATGACACATTCTCACAAACCTATAAATGTGGATTTTAATGTTGTTTTGCAAGGTGCAAACTTCCTCCTGATACTTAATTCATATGGGAGTAGTGAAACCAGACTACTTTCTGTATTGCTATCTGTAGAACTAGGAAATACTAACATATATTTTTGTCCCAATTTTCCAAGAAAATGTCTTGGGTATCATCCAAATTAAATCTATCAGTTGGTAGAAATTACTGAAAAACTATATTCATGTGATCAATGTTTATAGTGCAAACATCCACTTGCAGGCTTGATTAATGATCTCATTGCGCCCTCCACTGGGAAAAAATGGGAGTACAGCAACATTTCAGCCTGGTTCAATGAAGCTGGTTAAAAAATAACGAACAGCGGGAAATTTCAAGTGCATCTTCAAGTTAAAATTAATAGATTCATTAAAGACACAATTCTGTATTTAGTTGAAGCTCTTACTTCTAATAATTTTCTTTTTCTCATCTAGAAAAAAAAAATAATCTAAAGGCAATTAAAAACCTCAATACATACAACAACTATGTACATAAGAAATTCATATTTTACCTGTGTCACTAAAGTTATTGAAATTTATTTGGATGTTATATAATATTAAACAGTAAACAAAACTTAATATGTTCTCATATTTTTTGATTAACAACATGAAACAAAACAAACCCTGATGAAAAGTTTCCCCTAAACACTGAATATTACATTTTCCATTTCATGTGTCCCTGGTTATAATTGTAAATTATAACTGGGGGACAGCAGTGAGGCTGACTGCAGCGTGGAGACCCCCGAACAATCACAGACATCTTTATTATCATTGTGATTCTTAAGCAATCAGCTTTTTTTTTTCCAGTAGTTGGTTTATCATACAGGGAAGGTAGCTGTGTGCTTTGTCTAAAATAATGAAAATTTCCATTTCCTCCGGCAAAGCATACACTCATTTATCTCTACTAAATGATGTGAAACACCGGAGAGTGAAGTAATTAGAGTGTGGGGATAATTAAAATTGTCCCACTTTCACCGTTTTTTTTTTTCTTCCCTTCAGTCGTCTGCCACTGTGTGACCGTAGGCACCGGGTGAAATGAGGTAAGACACAATCCTCTGCACTTCCCAGCTTTTCCAAAGAGACAGCGAAACAAAGGAGTAATCACCATGGGGGGGAAATAAAGACCAAAACAAATAAAATGATAAAAATCTATTGTTTTAGTTCTCTGCTGGATATCTGTGTTGCAAATTTGGATCATCCTTGTCCAAAAAAAAAAAAAAAATCATCCAAGTGCTGAGGGTAAGGTCAAGGCTTGCAGCCGGCTGGATGGCTTAAAGGGAGCAAGTTCTGTCTGAACGCCAGCAGCAGCCTCACATTGTTTATGATAATGAACAGCAGGGGGTTAGTGGGGAGCAGAAACCAAGAAGAGGAGACAACTGGAAGGACATACAAGAAACAAAGGGCATTCAAAACAAAGGAAAACAAACACTGAGGACTGGCTGATCAGAGGAAGGAAGAAAAAAAGTGATGCTGTCATGTCTGAAATGGGACACGGTCACATTGTTTTCAATTATGGGAACAAAATATGACAGTAAATCAAACAGCTACATGCAGAGGAAATGGAAGACAAAAACGAGGGTCTAAAAAAGGCAACAGATGGAAATGAGGACATGAATCAGACAGCATATGTGAGACTGAAGCAGGAGGTGAGAGACGGGAAGGTGAGACGGAGATCACAGACTGCCGGGGCTTTGTAATAGGGCTGTAATACTTCTTCTGGCACACTGATTGGAGAGGAACTGGTTTTCTTCTCTAAATATCAAAATCTTTTTTTTTTTTCTTTGTGGGATGTCTCATTTAAGACAGAAAACACTGTGAAGGTTTTAGAAGCACCTTATATCTCAACATTAAACAATCCTTTGCTTTTATTGACAGTGTGTTTCCCTTCTTGTTATTATCTCCAGCTCCATGTCGAGCACAATTTCTAGCAAAGCTTCTTTTTTTTATATTTTCTCACATTACAACCATAATGGTATATTTTCTCTGGATTTTATCTGACAAACTAACAGTAACTTAGAGCATATGAATGTAAAATGTTTACCAAGCATGTGGAAGAATGATGTTCTGGTCAAATAAAAAAAATAATAATACATTGTAAAAGTCCTCGAATGGCAGAAATTCACTTCGATATACCATCTGCCTAGTGAAACACAGTGGTAGCAGCATCATGCAGTGAGGATACTTTTTTTTACCAGCAAATGTCTAAAAAGTGAGACATTCACTGGTTGTCAACACTGATGAGTCAGAATTCGGTAGATTCACCTTTTTTTCTGTAAACAAAGTTGCAAATCCAGCAGGGTTTGTCTGTTTCCACATATCTAGAGAATGACTTTTTCCAGTTTGTCTTTGCAAAACAGCAAAAGTTCAGTCAGATTAAATGGAACCTGAGACAAGAATTTAAAACTTCAGAAACTGGTTATATTCCAAACCCTAAAAGGTGAAAAATCACTTTTAACACAGAAAAAAAGGCACATGACTATGTATTAAGGAAGTCATTTGTTTTTAGGGTAGGACTAAGTGGTGCGAAACTTTACATTTTGGATCAAGAACTTGGCACAAGCACCATGCAAACCGCTGCAGCAAAAATGGGAAGTGTAAAAACCAAAGGTGTACATTTTTAATCAGGAACTGTTCTCAGCTGTGGAGTTTCACAGCTTTTTCCCACATCAAGTGCACCAAATGAAATATAACCCAACCCACTCCCCCAAGCGTCTTCTATCATTCAGTGCTTTGCTTTCAATCTAAAATGGCAAACCAGAGTCACAGAACCATTTCTGTCCAACATAGCCAGGCCTGGAATGAGGCTGGCGCTGTCCTCACTTGACTGAATCTCACTGACACACGTCCAGGAGGGACTTCGGCAGCATTTCTGCTGCCCCTTTCCTCGAACATAAAGATTCAACATCAAATAGAAACAAAGAAAAAATGTTTCCGGTGGTTTCAGAATATCAGGCTTGGCTGTGGTAAAGAAAGTGACAACCGTATCCAAGGGAAACTGGCTGGCACACAGTCTCTTCCAGACATCACATCACCGACGTTAATCGGACCAGACACACTGTTAATTAGAAAGTGATGCTGCTGTCTCACTCTTTCCCTCACCTGTCTCTGTCCATGTAACACACACACACACAAACACACCAAAACTATACTGCATGAACATCTGCTCATTTTTTGACTGACAGGTTCACACACACACACACACAAAAAAAAACATAAAATATTTTTGCAGAACTTTTGCAAATAAAACCAAACAAGAAATGCAGCGAAGCCATTAACTAGGATCAGATTAAGAAATATTATGATGGGTCAGCAGAGACATTTGTTTCATTCATTCAGGGTCAGAGTTTTTCTTGGTGCATCCTTCCATAATTATATTTCTAGTAATTATGGCTTATCTTATTTATCACAATGTCTGCTGCCAGAACCAGTTTTTATTTGACCTTTTGGTGTGGTGTCTTTTTTTTTTGAGATGTTAAATATTGTCTCAATTATTTGTGTCAGAAGCTGTGGCAAACAAACATTACATGATGGCAAAAAAAGAAAAACTTAGGGACAACTAGTAAATAACACAATGAAATGCAAAGAACTAACATAACAGCTTTCAGATGTACAATATTAATTTCTTAACTTCTATTTTTATGTTTCAGTTCATGCATTTCTTAGCAGTCAGCCGGGACATGGCCCATGTAGAGATGAATAAATGTTTGCCAGTCAGAGATGAATGCTTTTAACACTGTCAGGGCAATCTGACTTTATAACTTACTTACCATCGACTGCTCAAAGAAGCAAAACTGAATCTCAACTTCTAGATTGTTTTGTGGTCTCATATACATTCAGGCATCAATTTTACTCTGCAAATTCCCTGACAATAATTTCCTCGTTGCATCCACACACCTCTATTATATGGTGCATTAGTGTGAAATGGTGTGCAAAGTATCCCTTCCTACTGCAACAATTGCCCCATTATGTGACAAATGGAGCATACCCATCATCTGATTCGGACCTGATCAAATAAGGTGTGCTGTTTCCTCTGATAGGTAAATCATTACAATCTAAGGTAAACTGCAACTAACTTCTACAATAGATGGTGACCAATTTTAATTAAAAAAAAAATGCATTGAGAATATGGCCCAGAGACTGCTGATAATTGATGGTGAATGCTTATGCCCTTTATCAAGTCTGAGGACTCCAAAGAACCTTTCAAATTTATCATGGAGGTTTTGGTTTTTTAAGTTTTTTGCAGATTGCTGAAAGTTTAAACTTTAAATATACGTGTAGAGGTTTCTAAATATGCTCTATTGGCATATTTACAGAAAGGTTTGTGTTGAAAATGAGAAAATGCAGTGCAGACACTGTGTGCTTTGAGTAAACAATTTGAACAGTGGAAGTTATGTGAGAATATTGGAATCATAATAACTGAGAAGAATAAAAGAAAGGATCAAGGATTTGGTAATTTTGGCATCCTGTTGTGTATTTTGATGCCAAGTGCTGTGCTACTTTTCTCAATCTCACACATACACTCAGTGTGACATTGCCTTTCTCCTGAAAAATAAATGACCTTTTTAAGACTTTCATTAAATTATATCAATTCATTTTATTGCTGGATTTAGCTTTATAAATCATTTTACCAATCAATAAAGCCAGCAAACGAAAAGAAATCTTCTCAAACTACAGTCCATTTAACAGCTTATTGATTTCGTTCATTTTGCAAAAAGATGAGAATGCAATACTTTAAATGGGATACATAAATGAAGTTAATCTGAGACTTTAAAAGCAAAGCTAAAAGGGCTTAAAATGCCTTTTTTTTTTTGCATTATTTAATGTCCATGATCTTATTCATGCATTTGACTGCACTTAACGTCTTTAAATGCCTTTTCCTACCTTCTGTCCAGCTGCCATTAATGTTCTGTCATTGTAATGATCTCTGGGGCTCTGCAGGGTTAATAGAGGTTCCTCTTCCATGCTCTCATCGGGGCTTTCCACAGTCAAACCTGACGCCTCGTCCAGGATGTTCTCTGCAAAGACAACAAAGACAGTTTCAAATGCAAAATGCATATTTGTTTGGCTTTTGAGTATTTTGTGTCAAAATACAGAAAGTACAAAATACGTAAATTCTGACCCAATAAATGAATTTTTTTGTTGCTTTTTCTTTAGAAAACAAAATATTATCAAGAACCACAACAACTTCCTTTGTACAACCAACACAAAAAAGTGAATATTTAAGTCGGAGGAAAAATAAATACACATGGTATATATTGTTCTCACAAATGCAAATCTGAAAAGTATTCCAAGTTCCAACTGTTTTTGTGTCTTTCTTTTGCTCAACTTTTATTTTAATAAACAAGTTTCTCCTAAACTGCACTTCTTATGGTTTTCTTTCAACAATAGCTTTTTTTTTCTTGCCACTGTTCATAATTTGAGATCAGCACATTTAATATTTGCTATGTGAAGAGATTGCAAGCATAACAAACAGCAATGATTTGATATGTTTCCCATTGGGAGTAAAAAAAAATTTTTTGGATGTTCAGAGCTTGGGATAATGTTTTATTCCATAAGTTTGCTTTAAGCCTCACTCACCTGTCTGCTTTGATCAATTACCGTCAAATATTGTTTGCTCAATAATGTTCTTGACAAAAATGGTTACTAATTAGCTTATTTCTGAATGCATTTGATTGCACAAGGCTTTATTTGGGTGTAGTAGAGAAAAAAAGATGAATGTAAAATGTTTTCTGATTTCATATGTCACTTGCTTTCCATTTCATAATTGTACACTACTTTCTGTTGGTAAAGTACCTTTAAAAAATGCTAGGATATTTGTAATTATAATGTAACAAAATATAAAAAAAAATTCAAGGTGGACAAATACTTTTACAAGACATTGTGATTTAACATTAAGTTATAAATCCTTTTGTGTGGGTTTTATATTGAACTTCTAATAAAACCCTCCCTAAGAGGGTCTACTGATGCAGCTTTATAGTCAGATTAGATATTCAGTCCATGTTCAGGACAAATCTCTCATTTAAAGTCTCCTTCATGTTGAAGACTTCATGTTCAGCCTCCTCTTCAAGCACAGCATCATCAGTGACCTCCGTCTGGCTTCAAAAGGGTTTTACTCTCCATCTGACCCTCAACATATGGCACATTCTCCGTGGTGACAGCTCCACACTGCTGAAGGAATTATATTAATATTCATACAGCTCTGAGCCCCTGTATAACTGTATAAACAATGCCAGCTTGTCAGCGTGTGCATTACAAGCCCCCTATTTCCAGTGAATACAAATGATGCCCTTGCACAAATAAAAAGAGCAGGTCAGTGGAAGGCTGCTGGCTGCCTACAGGTTAGGTATCAGACAGCATCCGTGCATAATTAGGAGACCCTGCAGATAGTGATGCACTTTCCTTTTCTATGTACACAAAGTTAGGGTGCTGTGACGGAGTGCACAGTTGTGACTAACCTTGACTCTGTGGAAAGATGTCTGTGGTTGGGTCTTGCTCTCCGTCGGCGCGATGAGGAGGACTGAAGCACAGCACCTTAGAGTCCAGCTGGGGCAGAGTGCTGACAATCAGGGTAAGCGTCCGGTTCCCAAAAGCTGCCCTCAAATCATCCAGTTGGAGGGCGGAGGCAGGTTTACCATTGAGGAACTGAATCTCATCGCTTGCTTTCAAACCTAATGGACGAGCAAAAAGAAAAGTCAAAAAACATTCAAGCTATTCTAGAAAGTAGTAAGTTTATCAAACAAGTTTTAATGTTGGTGTTTTTGGTGAAAAAAAAAAAACAAAACAAAAAAAAAAAAACAATTTAGTCTCATCTGTAAGATCATAACCAATAAGGGAGTGACTTTGTGTGTTAATATGTGCAAATAATCCCCACAAACAAAATGTGTGTACCATACTTCCTAATAGCAGCTCTGAGGCTAATCCAGACATGTTGGGACTCTAATGTTCTCCAATACATTAAAAATGCATCCTCCCATGCTCGCTTCCTTCCTTTCTTGCTTGCGGCAAGTCCTGATGTAACAAGACTGGATGGATTTAGAAGGGAGTGTGCAAAACCTGTCTATTCCTGTCGTCTTATGTTATCATATACATTGTCTAAGAGACTGTACACATGAAAGGGAACCCATTGACTTCACTGTTTGACGCTTTCCCCCCCCTCTGACCACCTGTGCCCGGCACTGTTAATTGAGAATTAGCGCTTAAACAGCCAGTTTCACCAATCAACCTGATTAGTTGTGACAGCTGCTCTGGGATCTAATAGCAACCTAACTTGCCCTTTAATGCTGAATTCAGTTACACAAATGGATTTTTATTCTGTTAACAGAAACGCATGCGCTCATGGTAACTAGTGCAAAATCTCCTGACACTTTAATTCCTGTAGAAAATATGGAATTACAGAGCTGCCACCCAGGCATGTGACAGTATATAGTACAAACATGAAAAGCATGTTGTTAGAACAATTACATTTTGGGGGTAATAACGTGATACAGCCGTGTTTTTTTTTTTTTTTTGCCTGGGCAGCATTTTTACACTTCCATAAGGAAATGGTAGAAATTCTGTCAAATCCACATTTAAATGGCAGAGGAAAGCAAACAGACTCAGAGCTATAGATGGAGACAAGAGATGCACATTTAGCCATAAGTCATGACCTAGTTGTCTGGGATCTGAACTGTCAGTTAAAGCAGTTATTATTGGAGAGGGAGTAATAATGCTTCTGGCTCTATACTGCTGAGAGAGAGTGTGTGTTTTGCCTGTGTGTTGTAGTTTTAGGGTCTTGCAAAAGTAACAGCAAACTCAGTGTTTTCCTGGGACTTTATGTGATGGATTGACACAAAGTAGTGCTTAATTGTGATTGGGGAGGAAAAAGGCAATCACACTTGCAAGTGTTTTGTTGTAAATTTCCAGCTATACACATCTGGGGACTCAAGCTTTGATGTAGAGCAAACATTGATTTTAAAGTCTTGACACAGATTTTCAATAAGATTGTGCCAGCTGAAAAGCTGCGGACTATTGTGTCTGTTAAAATCCCAATTAAAATGTATTGAGGTTTGTGGCTATAATGTGACCAAATCTAAAAAAAAAAAAAAAAAAAAAAACAAAGATCAAGGGGATTAAAACTTTTTGCACCAATTTTTTAACAT